TTATTGCTATTTTATACAATTTTTGCTTCTTGACTTTCTGCTGAGCTTTTCTTTATTTTTGCACATTTTTTGTCTATAGTTTTTTTAAAAATTTTTTTTAGATTTTTTGCCGCACTGTACATTATTTCCTTTAACTTAATTTCGTTGGAAATTATTTTTCGATTTGCATGTAGTCATAGCTCGTTTAACAAAACTCTACGACTCCTTCAGGACTAACAAATGCATTACTAATGTTTGCCTTGTTCACTTAATTACAAAATTGCTGTCCTTAAATGTTTGGCATGTTCGGCTATGGATTTTGGTTTTTCTGGTTTTCATAAGAGTTTTGTGTCCTGCTTGAGTTTAATTTTATTTACTTCAATTTTAGTTCTATCAAACCGAAACCAACAAATTATTTGGATTATTTATGTATATGGGAGGGTCTATTGTTCAATTTTATCTAATAGTGTAAGACAGATGCATTAAATTTTTCCATACTTCAGTTTCATATTGTTTTAAAGAATTTTTAATTGTTATAGAAAGAAATATTTTAAGAGTTTGTTATTTAATATGTCTACAGTTATTATTTATAAGCTAGAGGTACCTGAAAATTTATATCATTACTCTGGAATTATACTTACTTTTACTTATTTCATTTAATTGGATATTATCAACATATGTAAGAAATGATCACGTTTAGTAACCTTTAGTAATTGTCTTCCCGCTGGCGTTGTTTAGAAATATTAAAGTGCGACCTGGTCTTTAATGCAGGTCTACTCTTTTCGAAAGTGTTATCTGTAGTTACATTTCAAGCACTTTTTTTATTTGGACATTTATAGTCATGTATTCAGTTATTCTTAGTGTGACTTAAAACTATCCACAGCTAAAAGAGATTCAAGATTGAACTGCTGAATGTGTTAGTGTATGCACTTCTGGGCTGATTTGTTTAGAAGTTCATTACCTTCGCAAAATGGAAGATCGTCAAACAACTGTGCGAAAAACGACTGCAGAATAAACTTCAAGTACTTCTTAAGGTGTAGTTAAAAATACCTAATATTAAGTTTTGGGTAAAAAATTGATATCACATTCGCTAATAATCCATATGATAGCATTTGATTGCGGGTTTGTCAGCAGTATCTGGGACATTGTGGTAGTATAAAAAGAATTGTGTGCATTCTCTTACAATCATGGTTTTAAACACAAGTTAAATCATTCTCTAAATATAGGCATTTCGTTTATACTCTCCCTTAACGTTTCAAAGATAAAGGTAATCTAGTCTAAATAATTTCTAATTGTACCACCTTGTGGTAATTCTATATTAGACTATTTGCTTTGCTAAATAAAGTGAAGCGGATTTGACTTTACTTCTCCTCTTTTACTTCACCTCTTTGATATTGAAGTCACTTAATCCGTTGTCCTAGGCTACGAAATAAAATGTAATTGATGTGTTTTATGTTTTCGCTAAACTTCTCAGTGAAGATAGTGTTGTAGTAAAGCACAGTAAGAGCTTTTCTACGCTTTTTGGTGTTGTTTTTAATATTTCCTTTCATACTCAATTTGGAGGATTGAATGAATTGATTCTCACTACTTCAGGGCTTTACTCCGGCACTATATTCGGTATGTTTAACTATTTCTTTATTAAGCATATTGATTTTTACTTGTTTCTGCATACACAATGAAGAAATAACATCGTCTCTCCACTCCTAATGGTTAAACATCAAGTTGAGTGTGGAAAACACCAAACCTAATAACAAAAAAAGTAATTATAAGCCAGTTCCTACTCTTCACCATAACAATTTACAGCATATTCGTTAGAATGTCTTGTATTTCATTTGAATGATATTAATGTCGTGAAGTTCATACAGCTCGTGATTCGTTTGGATATGGTATTCGTGGCTAACTCGTAGTGAATCAAAGACCTTACGAAGAACTTTTCATTTTCTCTTAATTTATTACTATACAAAAAATCCAGATATAAGTTTTCTTTATTAAACTAAGTTCCTAATATTTTTATGTTTTTTATTACAGAATTCATAAGATGAGAAAATACTAATTCTTTCACCCTGGATTCATATGATGTATTTAGATCTATAGAAAGTATTGTTAAACGCATATGTAAAATATCTAAAGCCAATATGTTTATTAATATTTTTTCAATAACTTACAATCACTTAACAAGTTCCAACGTTAGGGACATTTTCCCTTCCAGTTTATCACATTTACTCATCCTACACCCCTATTATAAAAATAATAATGTAAGAAACTTAACAAGTTATTTATGGAATATTGTTAATTTTGAACTTTAGGGATTGAGTGAGTGTTTTGAAATGATTACAGGACCCTCATCATTTAACGCAAAGCAGGAAACACAAACTTTGTCAACAATCTAACCTGAATTATTAGTTTCATTTTCGAACTAATAAACAAGTTTGTGCTTCCTTGAACTTGATAACATTTTAAATGTTGGCATGAATAATTTAGCACAATCAGTAACATAAAATCAAGTCAATATAAAGTGGAAACCCTCAGTAAAATATTTCAATATTCATTTTGAGAAAAGTGCATAATAAATCAAAGCCTGATAACAGCGGCAATAACGAACGAACATCTCGAACTTCAGGAACTTGTAAGCATTTAATGTAGTTAACCTTATGGAAAAGTAAGCAATATCCTTAATTTTATGTGTGGCTACGAGATTTCTACTAAACTGCCTAAGAAAAGTGCATAAATTAGAAAAGTTCAACCAAAAATTGTAGAAGTTTTTATCAACTGACGAAAACTCATGAATTATTTAAATAATGCCACACAAAGGCATTGCCCTAAAATTAAAAAAAAAACAAAAATAAAAATAAATAAAAATTATTATTCACGTTATTGAAAAATGTTTGCCGCTTCGTACTCGTTATGAGGGCAAATAATATCTGCAGCTAGAACAGAACTGAACATAACCTCAACTCAAGAGCTCGAAGACTCAATAATAAAAGTCAAAAGTGAAAATATCGAAAACTAATTGTACATGAAAATCAATTTCAGTAAAAGTTTTTTCAATGTGCGGAAATGTTTAAATAAACTACCCGCCGCACTCGAATTTCGCCCCTAAGTGGTGAAGGGCTGGTGCTGCGATATCGATACCACCACTTGCAAATACAATTTTCAATATTAGCATTAGCAGTCATAACAAACAACAACAACACCAAATGCACACACGCACACAAAAACAGGGTTGTGTTTAGTTGGTAAATTTGGTGGCGGTTAGAAGCGTGCGGGGTGAAATGGCGTAATGTTAAACAAGTCAAAAGTTATCTAATTTTTGCTTGCCTTGCCAATTACGAACTAAAATTGAAAATGTCTGCCAAATAAAGCATATTATTATAGCTTATTTAAGCGGACAATGGCCAAAGTAAAAAATGAGAGGAAATAAAAATGAACTTGTAGGAAGCAGCGAAACAAAAAAGAAAAGGAAAAGAAAAAGAAACCAATCAGTGGAGGCAAGCATTAAGGAAAGAAAGTATAGAAGTCAGTTCTTAGTACATTACTTTCAGCACAACGTGGCGTATGAGTTACCTAAATGAAATAAGCAATCGAAATATAGTAGCAGAATTTGTTGCCAATAAAAAGATTGAGCGCTGATAAGTATTGGTCTTCTGCGTTTGGTAAGGACAATGGTTGACAATAGCTGTAGTTTGGCTCAAGCTGCCTCAATGTATCACATATTATATTTAATGATTTTGTTGCTCTTAATATTTGACAGTTCAATAATCTCATCGTTTGTTTGGTTTTTTATTATATATATTTTTTTTACTCTACATAGATAGAATCTGTCTAATGAAGTTTGTATAATGTAGAAATATATTTATTTACTTTTGTTCAAATAGTCAATAGCAGTTGGATACTTTCAATTAAATTAACTTATTTTATGTGTCATAATGTATGGATTATTGGCATCAATTGTGCTCAATATAATTATAATGGAAGTGAAGGAAGAGTTTTGCAAGTAACTAAACTCATAAAAGCAATAAAACGTTAACGTTTAGGGCTTTATGTGATATGATCACATAAAACATATTTAGGGAATAAATTTTTATTGAAACAAACAAATTATAAATATTTCTAAATAACTGAATTATTTATAAGGTTTTAGTTTTTGTGAAAATGTAGAAACTAAAACAGTTCTCAGGTCAGCTTAGGTTATTATAATGATGCAATGAATCTAATTAAATCGTATTTTTTTTTTATAATTTATTTTCTTTTATTGCAATCTTTCACTTAAGAATAGATAATGAACAATATTTAAGAGTAAGTGGCTAAATACTTAAAATTATTGTGGGTTTGAATGGACTATGCTCAGTAGCGCATCCATCTGTTGAAGCTATAATCTTAATAACAAAATAGTTAGGATGATATTACAAACATTTTTTCTAATTTCTGGCTTGACTTTGTATACCATCCTTAACAACGGGGATATTGAGATCGTAGTGTATATACACATCTGTCATATATCTAGGAGCATTTGAGATCAATGTATTGGTTTTTGATTGGAAACGTTGAATAATCTATATACTTGAAGATGCAACACTTTCCCAGAGTTCAAAACCATAAGTCCAGATTGGTTTAAGTACAGCTTTGTATATAATAAGTTTATTATCGTTTGAAGGATTTGAGCTTTTCTTCTGTGTACAGTAAAGCTTCTGCAGTCTGATGCCAAATGCGTTTCTTTTGTAAAAGTATGATCCTTCCAAGTTAGTTTTGTGTCAAAGTGCATCCCTAAATACTGAATTTTAGTCTATAATACTAAAGATACATAATGCTCTCATTCAAGTTTATACTAAATATTGCCTGTTAAGTGATAATCATAGGAACCAAAATAAATGGAAAGTTAAAATTATGTACTTTTATAACATAACATTGATATTATATTAAAACATAGTGTAGTAATTTTTATTGATGAATTGACTTGTGCCTTACAGTTTTTAGATATAAATTTGTCTTAAATTCAGTCAAAAGTAACCAATTAAAACATTGTTATTTCATTTATACTTTCAATGTGAAAAAATTTATGTAAGTCAACACTAAAAATAAATTTTTTCAAAATTTCTTTAACTAAAATATATTCAAGATAAATTTTGCATTGAGTCTTTTTTGATGGATTCATTTTGAATTTTTTGCTTCATGTTGTTAATAAGATGACGATTCATCATCATGGCTGCAAACCTTATGCTGGCGTTAACAGTCTGTTGTCCATCCTGTGTACCAACATAATTGGTGGGATTGCGCTGAGACAAGGCCTGCTGCATTACAACATCATTGTTACGATTGAGCTCAGACAATTCATCCTTTATCACAACATCAGTGGTGGTGTTCAGTTGAGGTAATTCCATGCCTGATGCGCCATCCTCAATTACTGGTATCTATTATATAAAATCAATTATAGTTACGGTTTTATTTTTAAGTCGGTAACTCACTGTGGATACAAAGTTCATGTGCTGAATCATTTCCAATTCAAATGCTTCCGATGGAGTTTTATAGAGACAGACAAGCAAATCAAGCACATCTTCTCTAGATAGATTCATAATCAAACTTTATTTTTAATTTAAAATAAATTTTATGATTTAAATTTTCATTCTATATTTTTAAATATTATTCTGTATTTTCAAATACTAGAAACTACTATGTTTAAAAAATTTTTGTTCGAAGAAAATCTTTTTTTCAAAAATAGTATTAAAAAGGTATTAGTTATACTTTATTTTTCCAAAATAAAAACACAATAGCCGCGAATTTGTAACAATCTTAAGTGAAATCCAAAAAAATCTAAACAAACCAAATTGAAATACAAAAGAGATTGACATGAAATTAATGTGAAACTACAAACATTTCCATTTTTTATTTGGAAATTGACGCGATGTTGAACCGAAGTTAGCAACAATTGTAGGCGCAAGAGTGGAATTCAGGCCAAGTCAATGGGCATCACATCAAGCCAAGTAAGCAGCACAAGGACATTTCAATTTGGTAGCCTGCGGACACAACCAGAATACGTTCAATACCAATGAGAAGGTTAGGAAGCTGCAATATCGTGCAGATTTTTGTTGTTAGGAAAACACAGATTGTCGATGGATGCTGAGGCGAAATACAAGTGGCTTGGAATTGTTGTGGTATGGCCTGAATCCAGGTATCACTGATGTGGCGTTGTGGCAGCGCTGCGCCTGTGATAGGCATGAATTTAAATGAGTGTAGTTAAGAGGGATACATACATTCAAGCCCATTGCCATTTTCAGGATGTTTCTATTGTGTTTAATTGAGGTTTATTGAAATACTCGTAATTGTGGGTGCTACATAAGTTTCTGATTAAATCTTGTAGTTCGAGTAATTAGATTTAAATTTCTTGGTATATTATTTGTAGCAGTTCTTGTCATACGTGTGTACTTCAAGCTTTAATTAGTTGGAAAATGAGTGTCAAGAAATTCGAAACAAATGTTTTAAGATTATTTCACTTCATGAGATTCCTTATTTAGAGTGGTTCTTACTTAGCTCATCAAGAAATTCGGAAATCATCACCTGCAAATGGAGTATGTTTAATAAATTTACTTTAAAACGAGTAATTTCGCGTATTATATGAACTGTATTAAGTAGTGAATAAGCTCAAGAAGTTATTTTTGTGTGTGTGTGGGAATATGATAGTCCATTATGAGGCAAAAGTAATGTCGTTTTTGTTGTAATATTACAGTTAGAGGGCACGCAGTATGTTTTAATAATCTTAGGTAAAGATAAATATATTTGTAATCCGATAGCTGCTGTATTATTTCCATAAAAAGGATAATGTCTGTAGAGTTTTAACTGGTGTTGTTGAACAGGTAGTTAAGGAAATGGAACTCTTTTCGTACAGTGAACATACGCTTTTTGGTCAGTACCAAGCAGTTACATAGTAGTTGAGTGATTATTTTTTGGCGAATATGCTAAACGTATGTATTCCAAAACTAATCTGCTTTATCAATTACGCAGTTAGATTTCAAAACTGAGTTTTGTATAACAGGGTATGTCATACTAACACATGACAGAAGGGATAGCACTTTTGTCACTAAAAAATCGACAATCTTCCTGCACTTATGACTTACAATCAACATAACAGATCATACATAATCACAGTCCTTATAGATTACTGCTATCAAAGAAAATTTATATAATTAAAATATTTGGAAAGACTTCTATATATTTAAGTGTTAGCTACATTGCTGTAAGAAAAAGTAATAATGAGATACAAATAGTATATCGATAGATATGATCTATGGTTGATGTGATAATCCGTAGAGATCTATATGATAGATAACATGAAAGGTGTTACAAAAATGAATACAAGGGTTAAGATATGGTTGGGAAAATTAAGTGCGAAAGTGGAAGAGGATTGCTTATGAAAAAGTTTGAATTATGGATGAGTAAGATTTTAACTAAAGCTAAACCGGGTCAAGATGAAAACACCTTTTAATTGAGTGATATTTCTATCAATGCTGACCTCAAGGCGGAGAAATATTGCCAAGGACCAAGCCAAGGATACAAATAGTGCATTAGAACATAACAAAAGTTAGATGAATGCATAGCGGATAGAGCAAATGTCGTATATGGGTTCCTCTGTTTCTAATACAAAGCCAAATTATTTTCATATATAACCGTAAAAACTCAGTAGGAATCCTAACCAAATTATCAGCTCTCGGTTAATTGAATGTTATATACGGCATATATAATGAAGCATCTCTGATAAAATATAAGGTATATTCTAGCTGATATTAATCTATATTAATTATTATTTTTTTGATATGTGTTGAATGGGAAAAGGGAAAGTGTTTGATGACAGTTTATTTTTAATTCGTTTGCGATTTGAATAATACCTCTGAACTCTAAAGCTCAGATTTAATTTATGGATATAACATAGCACCTCTTTCAATATACCTTTGTAAGAGAATTAAAGTGTGATCGGAAATCTTATATTATATATGTATGTGCTATATTCGAAATAACAATCCTTTACAAATCCACCTTTCCAAAAGTGAAGAAGGTATAATAGTAGTTTGGATCTCATTCTCTTTACCTCTATTTGTTTTGTTTTTTTTTAATGAAATATTAATATTTTCCACTTTTTAAATTTAAATTAAATTTTTGTATTATGAAGAAGGAACGTACACATCTCTTAAAAGTGTTAGTTATCATGCATAAACTTTACACAAGAATAACTTTTTGAAAATAATTAAAAGAATTACATAACATTATTTTTTGCACCTAATAACACTGCACGAGCATCCACTGTTTTATAAATACCCGGGGGCCAGACCCCTATAGTTTCGACTGCGTGTAGTGCGGTGATTTCGTATCTTGTCCCTTTTACGCAATGCAGTTGCAGTTTGAATGCAATTTTAATGTGGCAAACGGTTGACAAGGAATTTTCAATTTTGATATGCCACAGTGCAGTAGAACAAATAAAGAGAAAGATGGGACATCTTACAGCGAATATAATAATAAAAATAGGGGAGAAAGTACTTAAGAAAAAAACATACAATTGAATAGAAAATGATTGGTTTTAACATTTTGAAGATTAGAACGCATCAGCCCATTTAAAGTCATAGGGAAAGCTAAAAAGTCATTTAAAAACTGCTACAAGTAGGATTTATGGCAATTTTAATATTTTGTACATATATAAAAGTATAGGTATATGTCGATTTTATATACAGCATAATGTTAACTATTGTATACGTTTCTATTATTAATAACAATGTGTACTGAAAAATGTGGCTTAATTCAACAGGAATTAAATTTGAGGTATGACAACTCTCAAAGTGTTGCCAACCCAACGTACATATTTTACTTAATGGCTTTTTTATTTTCAAGCACGCGGAAGTATTTTTGTCTTAGTTTTAAGGAAAAATTATACGGGATGAAAATTCAAACACGTAATGGTATAATAGCACTATATTTTCCCGGAAAATTATTGGTAGGTATTGTTATACTCACTCATGTTTTTAACAGTACCTACTTCTAGTTGAAATATCAACCTCGTTAAGCATATCGCTTCAATAAGAATAAATACTTTATGCTAACTAAAGTACGGAATAAACAAATCGGTCGTTTTGTCAATGCTATGCCATTGGTCTGAAATAGTTTTGGAAAGTTAGGGCTCAAATGTAACGAAATTTGTGCGCAATCGAAGACAAGTGACTGCTAGGTCACAATGGATTAAAGAGTTAAACCCAGCAAGTTCAACAAACGGACAAAGTCTCATCTGTGATTAAAAAATATTGGGCTGAATAGAGCATTCGAATGTGGTCAAAAGGTAAGGTCTCACTCTTTCTGATGGTCACGGTGATGATCGGTTGTGAGTGACAATTATCAACTCTATATTGTTGTTTTGGACAATAATATCAAATTTACTGTGAATTATTACCTTAAGAAAGGTTCTTGAATAGTGCTTTGAACAATTCGAATAAGAAGGAGTGGACATTTCAAAAAGATTCTACACCGTCATATAGTACAAACCAAACAACAATAACAGATAGACAAAGTTTCAAAGGTTATTTTAGAGGTTATTTTTTCCTGTGGCTAAAATTTACACACATTAAACTATTCGGATACTAAATGGTTATGATTAAGAAGCAATGATTTCGACCTCGACGAATATATGATTTTTTAGATAAAAATCGATATTTTAATGACGATAACATTTTTTACTGATTCTAATTCATTACTTTAGAAAGTACTTTGTTTTATTTGACCCAAGCAAATTATTCCATAGACAGTAAATTATGCAGACAACTGTTAAAGCTAAGAAAAAAAATATTCATTTTAAGTTGAATTAAATTTCTTGATACCAACTATAGACCAATGATATTTCAACGATGGTAACATTTTTTACTTACATGATCCACATTCACTATAACGGAAAGTAGTCTTATAAATTTAAATAAAGTCCTTTAAATTTTCTACTGTAGTTTTTGAAATATATAATACATATAAAGTATTTAATTACATTTTCACATGTTACTAGATTATTATCAACTACTATATATAACTTTAATAATAAAAAGGTATTACTAATTTGTTACTCAATATGCACATATATCCCATTTTAGACCTCTAACCTTTTAACTTTAAGAAAACTGCAAACAAGGAATAAGTAGCTTTACAAGCCGCGATGTAAGTATTTAAATCTAGTTGCAGTATTCTACCAGCTAGGATAGGCCTTTTCATTAGAGCTCGTTCCGTAAACAAAATCATGTGCTTTTTATACTTTTCAGTTTGGTCAAACCATTTGCTTGAGAAAGCAGCATACGGCAGCTTATCGAACATCAGTTGAAAATCAGTGCTGAAATAACAAGTCGGAAAGATTTGTAAAATCATCGCACAGATATAGACAAAGTAGTAGACTCTGTTAAAATAGTCGTTAAGATAAAATAGCAAAGCGGCCATAGCTACACAAATGTTGACTGCAGATACCGTGATTTGCACAAACATTGGAAAAGCGATGAGTTCCTCAAGTAAATCGCAAAGTCTAAAAAAATTAAACTTTTGTTAGTATAATTGCTTTTTTTATAAAATCAAAAAATAATTTACTTATAAAGATTTATTTGATCTTGAATGCAACATAGAAATTCGCGTTCATTTTCTCGCAGATTATCACTAGAATCGCAGCACTTTGAGATACGTATTGCGAGTAGCTTGATATGGACAGTTAGTAAGCAGAGTAATATTACAGGTATGGTTTCATTGGCATAATTCTGAGCTATCGCGATACATATACCCACAAACTGATATGAGTGTGCAAGTAAATACTTCACATTAGAGGTTTTCCAATCAAATGGAAACCAACCCGGGTAGAGCAGTATCCTTTCTTGACCAATAACTGCGGTCATTTCAGCAGTAAGAGCTACAGCTGCGTAAACGAGTGCGAATGTTTTTATTATTATTTTTAATTTTTTGTTCAATTTGTTATGGTAAAAATAATGTTCCTCTGTACTCGTGATACGTGCATCCAATTTATCCAATATTTTTTCAATTTCTAGCATTTTCTTCAAATTGACGGCAAAGCTCATGAATTTAATACTGCAAGCAATAGTAGTTACGGAAATTGCCAAATTCTTTATGTCATCTGCTACTTTATCATTGCGGAAAATTAACACAGATAAATGCAAAGGATACAAAATTGTGACCATTATATTCAACATTATAGCGTAAGTCCAATAAAGGCTTTTGTGTTTTAGATGAGGTCCGGCATATATGCCTAAGTATTTCCAAATTTTCCATTGCTTGGTGAAGTATGATTTGCTGTGAATAGAAGTCATTTCCGAAGGACACCTCTTCTGGTACTGTGAGTGAATTACATTTTAATAGCATTTAAACGAAATAATTTTATGCATTTATGGCTCTATGAAATATTAATTATTGAATATTTTGCATAACATTCAAAGTTTTAATATAACAATATTAACGAAAATGTGTTATAATTAAGTGGGAACGTGATTTCCTGGAGCAAATGTTTTGTACCCATAAATGCATAATGAAATATTTAAACAAATTTTATTTTAAATTTAAGTAAGTAAATTCTTCTTCGCATGTTAGTACCTTAGTCGAAGAATCTCCTACCAGTTTTTCCTAACAAAGATATAATTTTATAATAAGTTGCATGCAGTGCATATAACAAATCGATGTTATTTTTATCAGTTTATTTTTATACTCATAATTCATGTCAATAAATAGTAGTGGTTCAAAAGTTCTTCCAACTGTTTGAAGTTTCAAGGACTTTTACATACTAAAGAAATGACATTTTCATTTCTACATATGTTGGGAATGGAATGTTTTTAATAATATTTTCAAGCTACTGAGTAAAATACCTTCAATAATATTTTCATATACATCCTAAAGACTGAATACGTCCGTTAAATGCACAATGTTCTCAATACTATTCAATACCACGTCTCAGACAGTGTTTGCGTCCATGTCTTGCATAATGTCCGCATTCAAATAGTAATGCTAAAAAAGTCAGCATACTGACACTTCGTCAATTTATGTTTCAATTCAAAAATTGGCATTATTGTTTAACAGTTTAGTAATGTGGACGCAGAAATTATAGAGTTTTGAAGAGGTTTATACTACAAAAAATTTAGCTAGTTAAGGAAGCATTGACCAGAACAGTTGTCTGAATAGTTAAAACAATTTCAAGCAGTTCAATTAATTTTTTTTAACTCGTTGCTTTTATCTTTTTATCTCTAAATAATATCTCAACATTACCAGTAAGTTAGTATATGCTAAACAATCTTATCCTATCCATGATAAATATTAGCAAAATGGCTGGAGAGAGAGATAGTGTTAACTACTGAAATTATGATAATTGAAAATTCAAATTTTTATTTTAAAAAATTCTTTAATATATGGCATAATAACACTAATTTATATTGGGTTATTATTATTAATTAAATGTTGTAGATATTGCAGTAATATAAAAGAAGTTACTATTGATAAGCATTTGTTCTCTATACTTGTATATTGAAAAAATAAGACATTGCAAAAAAAACAAATAACTTTAAGTATACTTTATTCAACTATTTTGAAATCCTAACGATTTGCTATTTATCTTGAATATTATAAACGGATTGACTACTATCCAAACATTTTCCTTACGAAAACATCAGCCTTTAAAATTTAGAAAAAAGGCAAATAAGGAATAAGCTCCTTTGCAAGCAGCAACATAAGTATCCAAATTTAATGGCAAAATTCCACCTACTAGAAGAACTCGATGCCTCAAAGAACGTTCAGCAAATAAGATCATGTGCTTCTTGTATAGTTTGCTTTGGCCAACCCAGTTGCTACAGAAAACGGCATATGGCAACTGTTCGAACACCACTTGAAAATCACTGCTAAAGTAACAAGTCGGAAAAATTTGAGCAGTCATTGCTAAAACATATACAAAATAATATACTCGATCAAAATAATCGTTCAGATAAAACAATAAAGCGGCAAGAGCCACACAAATGTTGGCAGCAAAAACACTAATTTGTACAAATGTCGGAAAGGTTATGAGCTCTTCAATCAAATCACAAAGTCTGCAATAGAAGTATTATTTGATTTGAGTTATTTTTCAAAAAAATTGAAAATATTTTACTTATAAAGTTTAATTTGATCCTTTATACAAAGCATCAATTCGCTTTCATTTTCTTGCAAATCTCCGCAAACTCCACAGCACTTAGAGATACGTATTTTGAGTAGTTTGATGTGACCTGACAGTAAGCAAAGCAATAGTGCAGGTGTAGTCTCATTGGCAAAATTCTGAGCTATTGCTATACATATACCTCCAAACTGATATATATGTACGAATAAATACTTCACAGTAGAGCTGCTCCAATCGAAAGGAAACCAACCGGGATATAGAAGGACTTTGTCTTTACCCATAAATGTGGTTAATTCAGCTGTAATAGCCACGGAAACATAAACAACTAAATATGCATTTGCAGTTATCCTCATTTTCTTGTCCAAGTCATTATTGTAAAAATTGCTTTCCTCTATACCCTTGACACGTGAGTCCAATTCATCCAAAATTTTTTCAATTTTCTGCATTTTCTTTAAATTGAAGGCAAAACTTATAAATTTCAAGCTGCAAGCAATGGTGGTTAAGGAAATTGCTAAGTTTTTTATATTATCAGCTGTTGTATCATTGCGAAAAAGTAAAACGGCCAAATGTAAAGGATATAAGATTGTAACCATTATATTCAGGAACATGCTGTAACACCAATAAAGTCTTTTACGACTTAGATGAGGTTCAGCATATATGCCTAAATATTTCCAAATTTTCCATTGCTTAGAGAAGTATGCTTTACTGTCAATAGAAGTCATTTTAGAAGGACACCTTCCCTGGTACTGTATCGTAATAATTCAAAAGGCGCAATTTTATTTACTTATTACTTTTTAAAATTATAATTTTAAATTTCATTTGATGAAGTGGGAATATGTGTCACAGGAGCAGTTGTTTTCTATATTGGAATGTATAATAAAATACTATATTTATTTGAATGGTAAGGAGACCTATCAGGTGAGTTTTTTATTCCTTTTTATTACTGCCTAACTATTAGTGACATTAGTGACTGGTAAAATTTGATTTAATTGAAACCTAATTTATCTATATGTACTTATATTCCAACTACCTAAAGTCATAAAAAGTCATTTAATTAAATGTGCTGACAGCATACACTAGTTACTGCCGGAACTAGTACTTAATTTGCTTTCCATGTATCCTTCACTGCTTTACAAACACTTCATAAAAGTGTGCAGGTTATACATGTAATAATACGGTACATTGAATCAAATCAAGTATTTTTTAGCATATAATTTCAAAGGTCTCTAATTAGAGAGCAATAAATCACCCAATTTGTCATAAAATAATTTCACATATGTTATCTTTAGTATACGCATGTCCGGAACTTTAGCCTCTTAGCTTTAAAAATACTGCAAATAAAGAATAAGCTCCTTTGCATGCAGAGATATAAGTATCTAAATTCAAACGAAGTATTCCACCAGCCAGAATAGTTGTCTTCATGAGGGCACGTTCTGTAAATAATATCATGTGTTTTTTATATCGTTGGCTTTGATGAGTCCAATTGCTGGAAAACACAGCATATGGCAGCTCTTCGAACATCACTTGAAAATTATTACTAAAGTAACACGCTGGAAATATTTGCAAAATCAAAGCCACCAAATAGAGAAAATAGTAGACTCTATTGAAATAGTCATTGAGGAAAAAAAACAAAGCTGCCATAGCCACACAAATATTTGCTCCAGAAACTAAGATTTGTACAAACAGCGGAAAGGCTATGAGTTCCTCAATCAAATCGCAAAGTCTAAAACAAAACATAAATAAACTAAATGTGTTTCATGAAATTTAAAAATACTTCACTTATAAAGATTAATCTGATCTTTGATGCAACGCAAAAGTTCCAATGCTATACAAATCCAATAATCTGATATAGGTGTGCGAACACATACTTCACAGTAGAGCTGCGCCAATCAAAGGGAAACCAGCCCGGGTAAAGAAGTACTCGTTCGTGAACATTAAAGGTGGATAATTCAGCTGTAATGCCGATGACTACATAAAGGACTAGAAATACATTTGCAATAATATTCATTTTAAAATGCAGTTCGTGGCTGTAAAAGTGTAACTCCTCTCGACTCTTGATTCGCGTATCCAATGCATCCAACATTTCTTCGATTTTCTGCATTTTCTTCAAATTAATAGCATAACTTATAGATTTTATACTACAAGCAGTGCAGGTTAAGGAAATAGCTAAATTCTTGATATTATCAGCTAATGTATCATTGTGGAAAATTAACACGGATAAATGCAAAGGATACAATACTGTAAATATTATATTTAATATTATACCGTAACACCTATAAATCCTTTTATGTATGAGTTGAGAGTCGGTACATATACCTAAGAATATCCAGATGTTCCATTGCTTGGTGAAGTATGATTTGCTGTTAATTGTAGTCATTTCAGTATGATAGCTCTGTTGATACTGTACGGCCAATGCATTTTGAAAGTTATTAAGTGACTTTTCGATTCATTGGTTTATCAAATAATTATTATAAAGTTTGTATTTCATTCGAAGTTATTTTAATTCACTTCAAGTGTAGGTTGGGTTTGTGGGAATGTTACTGACACTGCCAGTAGTTTGAATACTCAAATGCACACTAAAGAACTTTGCCTGTGTGAATATTAAGTCCATGGCATAAGAATTGCATTACTATCGTGTCAGAGCCTAATTATGCTTAAGTTTAAAATTACAACTTTATCTTTTTAATAATAAATGTAGTTAAAACAAAGTTGTGAATTAAATAATAAATGCAATTCATATATTTTAGTATTTAATTTGTTTTTGTTTTCAATATCTTTTTAGAACGATGAAACACTTCTTCGATAGGATGCATAAGCTAGTAACCATTGATTCAATTATATATGAATTTCTCATTTTATTTAAATTTTAATTAAATTCTACTTTGTTGGTCTAAAACTGAAACCTGTTGTGCCGGCTTTTAGACTACGTCTTGGTTAGAGTTCAGGTAGAATTCTATTTCCTACATACAAATTCTAAAAGCTCTTTAACCTCTTCTCGGACAGGATATTGACCATAAGACTTTAAATTAACTTATTTGCATGTCCATTCATTTTAGTAGATTGCAATTGGACTAGTATTACACTCCATATTATTTCTTATTGGTACTTAACAACAAGTATATTTTTAAAAGCACAAATACAGCATATTTTTTTTAAACAACTATTTATTTTTATGAATAACACTTTTTATAATTTATTTGAAAATTATACCTAAATCAACTGAGTGCAAATTTACTCAGTGCATTATACTGAATTACTACGTAAGTGTGTTACATGATATAAAAAAACTCATGTCATATATTCTTTTATCATATTCAGATATTTTTACAATTTTAGCCTTTTAATTTCAAAAAGACGGCAAACATAGAATAAGCTCCTTTGCAAGCCGCAATATAAGTATCCAAATTTAGTTGCAGTATTCCACCAGCCAGGATAGGTCTTTTCATGAGGGCACGTTCTGTAAATAATATCATGTGTTTTTTATATCGTTGGCTTTGATCAACCCAATTGCTTGAAAAAACAGCATATGGTAGCTCTTCGAACATCATTTGAAAATCAGTGCTAAAGTAACAGGTCGGAAAGATTTGTGAAATTATTCCCAGAAGATAGAGAGAATAGTAGACTCTACTGAAATAATCATTGAGATAGAAAATCAAGGCAGCCATAGCCACACAAATATTTACTCCACAAACTAAAGTCTGTATGAACATCGGAAAGGCGATGAGTTCCTCAATCAAATCGCAAAGTCTGTAAAAACGAACTTGTACGGCATACATTATTAGTAAGATAAGAAAATTAATTTACTTATAAAGATTTAATTGATCTTTGATACAATTCAATAACTCCAGTTCATTTTCTTTTGGGTTTTCAGAGTTGTCACAAGCATTACTGATGCGAATGGTGAGTAGTTTGATATGTCCAGCCAGTAAGCAAAGCAATATAGCAGGTGTGGTTTCACTGGCATAATTTTGTGCTAATGCTATAGAAACTCCGACAATCTGATATAGGTGTGCCAGTAAATATTTAATAGTGGAGCTGCGCCAATCAAATGGAAACCAACCTGGGTAAAGTAGTGTACGATCCTCAGTCACAAGAACAGATAATTCAGCTGCGAAGTCAAGAACAATACACAGAACGAGGAATACATATATATTGATTTTAATTTTGGTCTGTAATTCATTGTTGTAGTAGTGACGTTCCTTTTTACTCCTGACACGTGCATCCAATGCATCCAACATTTCTTCGATTTTCAGCATTTTCTTCAAATTGATACCATAACATATAAACTTTATACTACAAGCAGTGCAGGTTAAGGAAATAGCTAAATTCTTGATATTATCAGCTAATGTATCATTGTGGAAAATTAACACGGATAAATGCAAAGGATACAAAACTGTAAATATTATATTTAATAATATACCGTAGCACCAATAAAGTCTTTTATGGCTTAGATGAGGTGCGGCATATACACCTAATACTTTCCAGATTTTCCATTGCTTGGTGAAGTATGCTTTGCTGTTAACTGAAATCATTTCAGGATGAGACGTTCGCTGTTACTGTATGGTTAAAGCAAATTCAATGCCTATAAGTAGACTAATTTCTTCTAGTTATTGCTCTACAAATAATTAATTACTGAAATTTATGCATAATTTGCAATTAAGCTAAAAGTAGCGTGATTATGTGGGAATGTGCTATATCAAAGCAGTTGTTGTACATGCTTAGATACGCAGCAAAATACTTTTTAAAATACTTTACACTATAGGGTATAGGGTATAAAGGTATATTAGTTCCATCAAGATGTTTGTGATACCAAGAAGAATACTCTCGAGATCAAGCAATGAATCAAATTAACGACATACGAGTTTATCTGCTAATTGGGTAATCCATATCTAAGTGTGTTCAACTAATGAATCTTTCCACAAAGTCCTTTGTGAACCCACTTAGATGAACTCAACAAATACAGGAAATTAGATCACTATGTGATGTATAGTGCCCACACAAGATGTGTGTTGGATATGGATTTATGATTTTAAAAAAATATTTGCCTGGATCTGGATCTAGGGTCTAAAAAATTAGTGGCTTAAATAAGTCACTACAAAACTTTTTTTTTTTTTTCGAGGCTGGGGAACAAAAAATGTCTACACACACCCGCAGAAACGTCTTTCTGTGGGTAGTGCACGGTTAGCCACTATATTACTGATACCACTATTTGTACAATAGTAGTATATTTGAGGGGCATTAAATATTCGGTTTTGCTATTGATAATTTCCTTTTCGTTGCACATTTATATTAAAAATTCAGAGAAAGCTACGCACATTTTTTACAAGCTGCATCTATGTTAAAATAACTGTCGTTTGTTCTTATATTATTACTAATAATTTAATAATCTTAATTGTCATAATTAGCTCATAACTAATTAGGTAGGTAGATGAAATGCGAGGAAGGT